CTTCTATATATTAATAGAGGAGACACTAGGTGAAAATCGTATGTGTCATCCTAAGAGGGTTTTAAGGAATTTATTTTCTAATAAAAATTATTTAAAATTCCTAATAACAAATATATAAAAATAATGAATATGTGGTAATTAATATAAAGAATGTTATTTAAGGAATATATAAAATATTTGAAAATATCTTATTTTATTTTCAATAATACTATATTTTTTATTCGAGTCAAAAGCGGTATTAAAATATTCAAAAACAAAAATCATGATTGTTTTTAATAGATGAGAGAAGTGAAAAATAGCAAAGATAAAATATATTTATGTTTGATCAAAATTTAGTTTCGTTATATGTATGCACAATACATATCATTTTTGTGTGTTTATAAATGTTAGAATACACGTCTAAATACTAGATTTTGACCCACGCCAAGCGTGAGATTAAATATGATTTCTAATCGATTTTACTATTTAGATGGGTATTGCAATATTTATAAACGTACAAAATTATATGTATTATACATAAATATCATAAAGTTAAATTTTGTTTAAGCATACTTTGATGTTATATGCTTTGATCAATTTTGCATAAAGTATTAAAACTAATGCAAATGTTATTTATTTCAATTTATTTGAAGTGTAAAATTAATTTTTATTATTTGTGTAAAATATAGCATACGATAAATCAAATAAAATTTAGATTTATATGAATTTGTCAGAAATAACAAACGAAAATTTATGTTTTTCAATAATGAAAAATAAAAATATTTGTAAATGTAGTTATCGTTTACAAATAAATAATATTGTTACAAATATAATAATAAAAACTTCTTAATATATCAATTTTTTTAAAAAAAAAGATCATTTGGTAAGTCTTGAGTAAAACTTAAATCTGCAAAATATGTATTACTGGGTTTATATTATAAAATTAATAAAAAATGTAAAAATTTCCACTATAGCATATGATTTCAATAGAAATGTTTTCATTGATTAATTTAAATGACATGTTTCTTAATATCTCCATTGAATGACATATATGATTTTTTCACCAAATATCTACTCAATTAATATATAGAGTATTAGTGAC